GAGTTGTTTGTATGTCAACGATGAACAAAAACACTATTGAATCCTCTTCTGGTTTCATTTTTCTTTTGATTTCCAACACTCTACATGCGTAATGATGGTTCTGTACTTCTTGTTTATTGCAAGCCAAGGAAATTGTAAATGTGTTGAAAGCAGAGGTCGGAGGAAATTGAAAATCAAGTAGTGGTTCAAGCAATACATGAGCTGGAAGAGCTAACAAGGGAGACGATAAAGGAGCCTCATTGCATGGAAGAAATGCAGCCAGATGAACAACACCCGGAAGGACACGGACAAGGCTATGCAAGAAGCTCTGTTTTAAAGAGCTAGAGCCTTCACACAACTTATTAAGTGTAGAAAGTGGTGGTGATCATGGTGGGTTTTCTTGTTCTGTGTTCCAAAGGTTTTTTTTCTTTAATCTTATAAGGCTGTTTGCAGGAGCCAAAACCTTTTTTTTTTAAAAAGACAAAATGACGACGTTTGTGTCTCTAACCAAACTACAAACAACAATGAGAGGTAGGGTTAATGTCTGCAAAGTGATTAGGATGGTAAAAAAAAAAGGTGATTAGGATGTTGCCATTGTTCATGTACCATGTCTCTCCGCATCATCCATATATGTGTAGGCTTTCCTTTGCACCCTCATGTTTCTTACACTGTTCTCTTTAGAGCATCTCTACAAGCCTCCTCATTTTTATGGGGTCAAACTCTTAAAATAAAGGGATGAGGGGTAGTTCTCTAACAGTGATTTTCATTCTTTTTTTAATTTTATAATTTAATCTTAATTTTGTTAATAATTAAATATAATCATCAAAATTTAATAATTAAACAGTAAGCACATATTAATATATGCTATTGACAAAATTAGTAAATAGATTTAGTATTCTAATGTATATTTTAACGTGTAATATGTCAGCTTATGTAATTTTTATTTTGATGTAAAATATTATGACTATATTATAATTTTTAATTTTACTAAATTTTTTAATTTATTATTATTGCTGTGTGAAATAATATGTTTAATTAATATTATTATATTTTAGTATGCTATAGATATTAATATATTATTATTATTTAAAATTTATTTTATAAGGCTATAATTATAATATTCATAATATTAAAATGCTACATATGAAATAATAAGTACAAAATCGTTAAACATATATAAATAGAATGACTAAAGTGAAAAGCGAATAGTGTTTTAATGGGTAAACAATACATCCTCAAATTTTCGGATGTACTGTTCACCCTCTTAAAATTTTAGGAAATAAAGATTTGCTGGAGTGCAAAACTCTTCAAAAATGAGGGAATAAATGTTTGTTGGAGATGTTCATAGACTTTCAGGAGTTAATGTTTCTGAAAAACGCTATGTAATTTTTATGAGCACTTTAATGATGATTTCTTAAAGCTCTAAAGTCATGTCAGTATGAACTTAGAGCACTCCCATTAGGGGTTCACACCCACAAATTCTCGCAGATTCGCAAAAAAAATATTAAAATAATTGTGGACTCCACTTAAATCTTGAACATGTTTTGCAAAGGTGCTTTCTAATGAACCCGGTTCATCACTGTTTCGCGGGTTCCACGCTATGTGACGGCCCGCAATTGATCCGCTTATTTATTATTTTAAAAAAAATCGCAAAAAAATAAAAAAAAATAAAGTTGTGAGCTATAAGATTAATGTTGGTTATTTTAGTGAACTGATTTAAACTCCACTTTAATTAATTATTGGAGGAATTAGGTAGGAGGTAGATTCACTCACTTTTTCCTCCAAAACAATTTGAATTTGAAAAAAAAGTACGGTCATTTTCAGTTTTTTGTTTTGTTCTTTTCTGAAAAAGTTAAAAGAAAATACGTAGAATTATGTATTTGTAGTACAAATATTAGAAAGCTTTTAAAATAAGAGAATTTTACATTTGGAGACACATTCTCACTTTCTATTTACACATAGAGACACTTCTTAGATGAGACACACTTTTTCCATGTGCTTTCAACCCTCGACTAGATTTCACAATACATTTCTATGTTTTTAACTAAACGAAACTGTCTTTCTTAACCAGACAAATAAAAATAACAAAAAGGTTTATTCTCTCTCCTATTTTGATTTTCTATTGATTTTCACTTTCCCAATTATATGAACCCTAATTTTGACTTTCTTTTCTTCATCTCCTTCCTCTCTTTCTGACTGATCTATTGACGTCATTGGTAACAACAGAATCGTTATCGTCTGGCTATGTTATCCCTAGTCCTATCTTCATGACCAAGCTCTTCTCACCTCTGGTTCCATCTCTCATCCATGGAGTGGACTAAATCTCGTTCGTCGAATCAAAAGCGACATCTCTAAAGTCAAGAACTCACCTCTGTCAAACTATCTGAGCTCCTCCGTGGTTATTGAAGCGAGATCCGGTAAGTTCTACACTGACTGGACGGACCCTCTTTGACCGTGATTGTCATCAAAATCGGTGGCCAAACCCCTCCTCACACTACACTTTCAGCTTTCATTTTTTATGGTATCAGTCACTTGAACATCTACAATGATGTACAAGAAAAGGCGTGCGAACAATCTGAATTGTCATAAAGTAACTCTGATACAAAATCTCCAGATTCTTTTTTTCAGGCATAAAATCCAAAACAAAATGGGTTTGTGATTCTGATTTGTGATGTTGTTTTGCAATTCTGTTTCAGGCTTTCATAAAACCACAGATTTTTCTTCTTTCACACTATGAGTTTGTGATTATGTTTTGTGATGTGTCTATTAAAGACTTTACGGATGATGTAATCTCTTGTTTGTTGACTATTATAATTTATTCTTCATGATTTTGAAGTATTTATATAAGAGCCTTGTAATATAATCAGCAATCCTCTGTTTACTGAACACGTTATTTTTTTTTGTTGATTGGATTTAGGATGTGTTTTCACTCGGTGAAAACAGAGAAGAAAAGACATAAGTTCATCTAAGGACACAAGAACACTGCAGCTGTTTTAATAGAAAAACAGAAACTAAAGCTCCATAAATTGTGGTCATTGTTGAAGATAGAGAGGAGGATGAGTGTGCAGGGACTCAGACAAAACAGTCAAGAGCAAATGAAACCAGAAGTTTATAAACTGATGAAGCTGAAGCATTGTCAAAAATTTCAGAAGGTTTAACTTATTCTTTAAATATTTTTCTATCCACAAATGACAGACCTATGTCCACTACTTGTGTATCCACAACTAGTCTGTTCACGTTATATTTGTTCATGTTTTTGTATCTACAAGAAATTTTATAACTTTCAATCGCTTGAAACAAGATTCATCCACAAAAAAAAAGAATTTTGCTAAGATTCTTAGACTACATACACATACAATTTTGTGTTACAATTTTTAAAAGTTTTTCATCTTTCTCATCCATCCATGTCCACAGTTTTTTTTTGTTTATTTATTTATCAACATATCTATTTTTTTTCATCCACATTTTATATAACTTTTTTAAATATATAAAATATATATATGAAATGGATCTTCAAATATAAAGGAAAAGAAATTAAAATTTACTGTAGCAATTATACTTGCTTTGTCTCTTAAAATATGATAAAATAAATAGAAATAGAAAATAGAATGAATAATAATAAAAATATATAAAGCAATTGCTGTAAATTGGAACTTTATCCTATATACCAACTTTAACAATTCTTGCATTCATATTTTTCTGACGGCTAACTAGATACCAACTAACAAAATAAACAATAATACTCTCTTGTTTCTTGTTGTTGAGCAAAGGGTATTTATGTCAAAAACAACCTAGAAAATTGTAAAATTATGTTTCAAGCACATTCTATTTCAAAATGTTTTTTGTTTTTTAACTCATCAACAACTTTCATTAACCAAAGTGAATACATGATTACAACCACTCTTGATTTTAACCCAACATACAAACAACGAGATCTAGTAACACCTAGGAACACTAAGATGGATCCTACGTTACCTAATCGGACGTCGTTGTATTTTTCACCGCAACGAATCGAGTTCATCCCACGACCCGAGATAAACCGACTCTTGAACCCCTAAATTAGACCACGATAACCACAAACAAACAATGTACCAAATGAACCAAAACCAAATCCAAGTATCAAATCAAGTACCAACTGTTGATCTCTATTGATAATCCTTCAGCCCTTGACCACCAGTACCAACACCAAGGCGCCAGCCCTAGACCACCGGCAATCGTTGCTACTGTTGATAGCCAAAAACCGATCATATGACCGGACTGAAAGTCGGACCTTGACAGAAGCTAACGAGGTCGGTACACCTAATCATGGCTTTGAGAAATGCGGAGCTCGAACAACCGGATACACACTGGTGCTGGGATGCCAAGCTACGCCACACGTTTCCGACCAAGCTCACCACTCCGGTTGACTACTCCATCGTCGTGAAGCTTGACGTGCGTTGTCCCCGAGTACCGAGGAACAAAACTCTGTACACCACCCTTTGTAGATCTCCTCCAGCCGTCACATCGCCGCACAAGGGAGTGGATCCATGGTAGAGGAGGCGTCTGGCCGAATCCACGCGCCGCTCCGTGAAGATTAGCCAAAGATCTGAAAAAGAGAAAACTAGATCCGGTTATGTCTTCAGTCCTAAAAGCTGACTCCTCTCGTCACCGCCTCTCCTTAGGTCTCGCCGTCTCTCCACAAGGGTTCGGGAACCGCCTTCGTCAAAAGAACATCATCTCCGGAGTTTCTCGATCTTACAGAGCAGATTGCATCTCGACTTAGGAAAAAACAGGAAGAAGAGGAGCAAAGGGTAAAAGAGGGAAGGTTAGAGATGAACGCCTCCGGCTACCGACGAGCGGCGACTGGAACTAGGGTTTTGTGTTAAAAGGGGCGCTAGAGAGAAGATAGAGCTTTTGTGTTTTTTTTTCTTTTTTTTTTGGTAAATGGATTTATGATTTAATTTTTTTTTGTGTTTTAAAGTGTTAAAAAAGACAGAAATGTGTCTTAAAGAGAAATCAACTCTTAAAATAAGGATTTTTAAAAATAAATTAAATTAAAATTAAAATTTCTTGCAACTTTGGTGACTAATTTGGAAATTTTGTTTGACCAATCTTTTTTTTCTTTCAAAAGCAGAAAAAAAAATAAATCAGATTATTGAAAGAAAACAAGATTCGTCGATAACATAAAAGAACGTCTCGAGGTGGACGTTAGCACAACTGATTCTGAACCTCTCGATCTGTCGTTTTGCTCTCTCCAAGCTCCAACCATGGTCTTGTAACCGCGAATCCATCTCTCATATTTCTTCTCCGCCAAGCTTCTCAACCGTTCTTCAGTATCTCATTCACACAAATTTCACCCTTCCTTAAGCTGAACAAACAAGGTACGCTGCATTTCTAACCCTAGCTTCACTTCAAGATTCTTGTTTTTTTTTTTTTTGCTAGTGCTTGTGTAGTTTACTAGTTTAGTCTCCGTCGAAGTCCGTTATCTAGGGTTTCGATTCCGTTAACCGACATTTTCACAAAAAGCTATCTTCTTAATCGAATCTTAGATTTCTCATGGCGACGACATCTGAAACTTCTCCCGCGACTCACGGAACTGGTCTCGAACCTCCGAGATCCGACACACCCGGAGATGCGCCTGACAACCAACTCCCTTCTGACCTCGCCGGCGTCTCAGCCGAGACCGGCTCTCAGAAACGCGGTCGTGGTCGTCCCCCAAAATCCAAATCCGACTCCCAGCCAAACGGCGCCGTTGCAGCTCAGCCGACAAGGGAACCAAGCGGTCGTCCGAGAAGAAACAGAGCTCCGGCGGCAGCTGTTCCGACGGCGGTTGTGAAAAGCGGTCGTGGTAGGCCAAAGAGGTCGAACACTCTGTCTGCGGCGGAGTCTGTGGTTGTGGGATCTAGAAAGCGTGGGAGGCCGAAGAAAGATGACGTGGCGGCTCCAGCTAAGAAACGCGGACGGAAACCTAAAAGTGAACACGTGGCTAAAAGGAGTGTGGGTAGGCCGAAGAAGGTAACTAACTTCCTTTTCTTACTAATTATGTTATTTGTCATAACATTGATAAGATGTGTCCATGTTTGGTCGGCGTATATTATCTGATTTTTGTTGTGATATTGTGGAAATGTAAATGGTTATTAGTCTATATGGTAAGTCGTTATCATCTCATATGTTCATCAGAGTGAGAAGATGCGTATGTTTGGTTGTCTTATCTGAATTTTGTTGTAATAATGTGGAAATTTAAATGGTTGGTCTCTATTTAGTAAGTTGTTATTATCTCATATGAATTAATATCTACAGGTATCTATCTAATTCATGTAACACATAACCATTGCTTATATGTATCTGTGAATTACTTATTTGAAATATCTGTTTTGCTCGCATGAAGGGAACAGGAGGTAGTACTGGGCAGGGAGCTGCAGACCTCAAGAAGAAAGCTTCACTCTTAGTAAGTCAACAACACTTACCTGTTTGCTTCTCTATAGTGATATTAGTTTACATCAATTTGGTTTAGGCATTATGTTGTGTCGGATCATGTAGAGTATTGTTGTAGTTTCGCGTACTTGAATGATTAGTTGCAATGCAAAGATGGAGTTTGGGTTTTCATTAGTTGAAAAGGGGATTTGTACAAGAGAAAGATGCAGATAGTCAATCTCATTATTATTTTCTGATGACAATATTTTTGGTTGCAGCAAAAGAAAGTGAAACAAGCTGCAGAGAAGTTGAAGATAGCAGTTTCAGCAATCAAGGAGGTCCAAGAGCTAGCGGCAGGAATGTAGAAGCTGTGATTTGACTTATCTACAAAACGGATAATGGAGAATAATCTTTATGCTGGTTTTTAAGGGAAAACATTTGTTGAAGAATTTAAGACCGGTTGTTTGATTTTCATTTTGGTTTGTTTGTACGTTCGTAGGGATATGGTACCAGAAGAGAAAACAGTTACTGTTAATGGTTAGTAGCTTTTATGACAATATCTTGCGTAGCTGCTACATGGGAGAAAGACACACTTTTGCGTTAGAAATGTTAGAACTCTTGCTTATGAATTGAATTTCTTTGTCGTCCAGATACATTATTAGTGTAACGATATTTGCTGATTGTAGTCTGAATTCAAGAATAGCTATTTTGGCTTAGTCAATCAAGAATCATATGAAAGTAGCTAAAGCTATAGATTGTTTTGCATTCTCATGCTCGGGTATTTCATATCTAGGGAAATTAGTACCGATCAAATAATTTAGAATTTCGGGTCGGACTAGGTTTGATACCATTCAGGTTCTTGTTAGGTACATCCCAAAGAACCGAAAATTAGATCCAGTTCGACTCCATTTGACAAAATCTGAATGTACAATAACCAAGCTTAGTTAAATATCTAGTTACTCAATACAATTCTCGACCAAGTTAAATAAAAATCAAATAGTTTTTTGGTTCTAGCTTGGATCATATTTTTGTATCTAAATGTATCCGAAAATATTCTAAAGTAATCAAAATATCAGAATTTCCAAATTAATTTTATTTGAAATATACAAAAGTAACCAGTATATTCACATTTAAAAATAGAATATTGAATATCTGAATTGTTATAAATTTTAATATAACTAATATCTTTAAATATAAATTTATAATTCTGATATTTAAAAAATCTATAATATTTTGGTTGAGGTTCGATTTGATACCTTAAAATTTGGATTGAACCGGTTCAAAACTTTAGATCTAAATATTTTAATTAGGTTTAATCTAAACATAGAACCACCTTTGCGGTTAAGCTATTGAAGCCCATGCTTCCAAAGAATTATCTAATAAATTATTTTTTGTCACATAATTTCTTTTTTAAAAAAATGTATTTAGTCTAGTGATGAATATTATGAAAATAGTCCCAAATATTTGATTCTTCATAGATGCAAATACCATCAAAATATTTATCCGGATATGTTTTTTGGTGTAATCTGTGACTTCAAACTTATGATCTAAACTAGGCATGGACATTAGGGTATCGAATTCGAGTCAGGTATTTCATGTCTAGGGGAATGGGTACCAATAGGATAATTTAGTATTTTGCGCTGAGTTCAGTTCCATACCATTTAGGTTCAGCTTAGTTACATTTAAAAGAACTGAAAAATTAGATCCAACTTGATTTGACTTGTTAAAATCTGAATATATCCTAAAATAACCGAGCTTATTTAAATTATCTAATTACTCTATACAATTTAAAGAAAATTAAACAATTATAAAAACTCAAATAACTGTGTATTGGTTCTAATTTGGATCATTTTTTTGTACCCAAACATATTTGAGAATATCTGAAGGCAACCAACAATATCAAAATAATTAGAAGTATTTGATTTGATAACTAATATATTCTAATTTATAAATATAATATTGAGCATTTGAAGTATTATAAGTTTTAATATACCTAAGATTTTTAGATATGTATTTATATTTCTGATATTTTTGGAAATTTAAGATTTTTTTTGTTAGGATTCTGTCTGGTACGTTAAAATTCAGATCGATCGATTTGGTTTTGATGTGGATAAGTGATCTCACTCAAACTCTAAAGAGTGATTTCACTCTCTCAAATAAGAGGTTTAGTTGTCGTACTTACATATCGAATCCACAGAGAGCTAAGGTGTTGAAAGACCTAATCAGACTGAATAAAGCTATGTTGAAAATGATTAATGATAAAGACAGGTTTGAACAAGGTAGTTGTTCGGTTGGTTGATTGAGGTTTGTAACAATATGAGAAGTAGCTAGATTTAGGGTTTCTATTCGGGTAGTCATGATTATAGAGATATAGATGATATTAGTCGGTTGCAGGATATCATAGAGCTCAACTTATATGACTAATCTATCAGTTATAGCATGTTTAGACTCGTCTATTGCTAGATCTAATGGTATCAATCTCGCTTGTTGATCAATAGAAAGTGTTTATCGATGATTCTAGAGGAATATCGATCGATGCACCTTTCACTTCGTCGATCGATTACTCTATAGGGATATCGATCGACACGTTTCTAGCAAGCTTTGTGCGCAGGTTGATTACGTGCTCACTAGAGTTCCTATATCATATATCGCCTATTTCGAGCAATCCTAGTTCAGTCAGGATCTATTCAGAATAAATACCAAGCTCTCGTTTGTGCCTAACAATCCTATTATCAGGGTTCTAGTTAGCTACTCTAGAACTCAACATTAAGGGCATCCTATTGATGAATATCACGACTTAGCAATTCTATATTTGGAGCTAATCCCTCGTAACCTATATGAACCCTAAATCTAACAATAAAACTACTTAGACATGGCTAAGCAATTCATAATAACAGATCTGTATCATATAATAATGGAGTTCCAATAACAAACTTTGAAGAAGTCTTGAATCTTCTCTTCAATCTTACTAAAAACCTTTGTGGTGAAAACTTAGAGAAATTAAGAAAGCACACTTTGCCGTCAACAATAGGCAAATGAATAAATACTAGGTAAAAACTCGTAGGGACAATCTCGTAATTTGGTGATATCTTGGACTTAAAAGTCGGCTGTAACCAAATTGAGTATCTTCGTGCGCTGACTGTCGATCGATGGCACAAGTCGTGCATCGATCGATAAGTGACTCTAAATGTCGACCTCTGGTCAGCTCGAGTGGTTTCTCCTTTTATCTCAAAATGCTCCAAAAACATCACTTTATGCCAAATCACTCCTGAACCATGACTAAAACAGGGTAGAATTCATGGCCTATCAATAAGTTTAACCATCTAGCAGTCATAATATCAACTTCCGTTGGCTAGTCATGCAAGAGCTTCATTAAGTTAGTTCAACCATTTCAAGAGACACCTTAGACGTGAAATAGCCTAGGATCTAGATCTGAGAGATCAAGTCAAATCTAGCATAAAGAATCCTTAGCAAGCATGGAAACAAATACATCTGGTATAAACACCTGAACTTTTCAATAATAACCTCAGAACTACCTAACCCATGAATTCAAGATAAGTCTACACACTAATTGTCATGATAGATCTTAAATTCATGTTAAGTTGAAGACAAATCATGTTTAGAGAGTTAGATCAACACTTAATATTGAAGATTCAAAAGACAAATATTAAAAAGATAGATAAAGATTGTCTTAAGAGAGAAAACAAGATAAAGAACTAAGGTAAAACTTAGATAATTGGGTTTTTTCCTTTAACCATATTTATAGGCACATAAAATCAAAGTTCAATCCCTAAAACGTTATTTTCTTGTCACTGCATTTTGACCAAAACACGTTCGTGTTTTGTCTTCTTCTTCGCTTGTGTGTTTGGAGCTCCAAGTTATGCGACTCCGTCAAGTCACGTTCACCGTCTTCATCAATATTTTTTTCTGGTCACTTGCTCCGGCTTCTGTGTCTTCCCGCGGCGACTGAGTCTTCTCCGCAAAGAGCTTCTTCTCTGATTGCGCTTACCTTAGCCGTGAAGTCTCCTTCATTTCTCCACCATCGGTATCTCCACAATAGTTGTGCCTCCTCTCTGCCGTGTGAGCCATTCAAGTCGAGATTTGTAAGGCAGGTGTCGAGGATGGTGAATCAAGAGTTCTCTTTATCACCCATCAATCGTTTTGTTCTTTTGCGTACCAAAACGAAGCGGGCAAGCCACATTTGTGCTCATCGATCGATTGGAGTTCTCGGTGTGACGCTTGGGTCAAGCCGGAGGGATCGAGCTGTCCGTTTTCTTCGTCTCGAGCGCTCCAAAGTTCCTTGCGTAATATCAGGATTGGTCCTTGTGTTTTTGTCCTTTTCTGAAACTTATGTTTTGTTCATAAAAGTCCTCGAAATTGCCTCAGAACTTATGATTGTGTTTTCTGACCTCTTGTCTATTCGGTATGTATAAATGCAATATCTAATAACATCTAAATACAACTCTTAAGCACTAAAATGATTAAAATTAATAGATAAAAGCATGTAAAATGACTAAAGCTTAGAAATGGAATTTATCAAATCTACCAGTGCTCACATATCGTTGTCCAAACACATGCAAGATCCCACTAAACTTCTATTGAACATTGTCCAAGAAAGACGGGAGATCCTTGGAATTTTCCGATAAATATCTCTCATATTCGTTCTCTAATCTCGATTGAAGCTTCACCACCCTTCTTTTGACACCATAGCTCGTTACCACCATCACCACCACCACCACCATCTCTCGTCAGATTCTCATGTGCTTACTCAGTTCGTCGTGAATCTGGCCAGTAGTTAACTGATGAAGAATCACTCTCCACCAATTCGTCTCTCGTCAATCGCAGTGAAGAAGAAGAAAGGACCCTAAATCAAATTTAGGAGCTCCATCAATGGCGTTGATGCTGGCTCGCAGGTGACTAAATACACTTTATGCTCACCATCGCGTATGAATCTAGTTTACTCTTGTGCTTTTGTTTTGGGAATCAAGGACCATTCTCTGTTTCTTCGAGATTGTGTCTGTAATTGAAACTGTCCGACTTGATGCTCATTTGACAAGGTTGGTATTCTTTATATTAGTCATGCAAATGACTTTGCTTTTCCGAACACTATTTGAATCCAGTTTTTTATTTAAGACTCTGGTGACTGTCAAATATACTATAGCTACTAATAACACTTATTTCTCAGGCTCTAGAGAGTGTATATGAAGCTTTTGTGTCTTGACTAGTAGTAAGAGTATCTGTTGCAGCTGGAGCAATGGCGATAAGCATGTGCCTCGACAATATCTTGGGATCGGTTGTTGTGTGAGAAAAAGGGCCAAGAGAACGTTTTCAGACCACATCCTATCACTGCAGAACTTGGCCTATACACCAAATTGTATCATCACCAGCGGTAAGAGCAGGAGCTCTTGCATTTTTACACAACAAGGACGCAAGGGTATTAACCAGGACGCCATGATTGTGTGGGAAGTGGGTCCTTCCTTCTCTCACTCTCTCTCTCCTTTGTATTTCTAGCTGTATAAAGAGAGGCTTTCTGCTTGCATTGGTAGGATTTTATGTCTGAGCCTCTGAGGATATGACCTTTTGTGGTGTATGCGATGGTCGTGGTCCTTTCGATCATCATGTTGCTCGTAAAGTGAGAGATACATTGCCTGCAAAGTTGCAGTCTTTCTTTCATGTATGAGTATTTGTGTTTTGGAATCTGAAAAACAAATAAAGCATGTGTTTTGGCTTAAAGGAATCAAGA